GAGTACCACTGCAACTCCCCCAGAGACTTCACCGGTACGTACTCGCCCAGGTCCTTTCCAAATTGATCACACCTCTCCTTCGTCCCCACTGCAAAAATGTCGTCTACGTGTACTACTAGGATCAACACTACTTTCCCCTTTTCGACTAAACGAAAAACACACGAATCGGCCATGCACTACTCGAAACCCAAAGCCAAAAGACACTTCTTCAGCAACGCGTACCACTCCCTAGATGCCTGCCTCAAACCGTAAAGACTCTTGTTCAACTGCACAATTTTCCCCGATAACGCACCACATCCTTCCGTCAATCGCATGAAAATGTCTTCCTTGAGAGGGGCCCTCACAAATGCCTAATCGATATCGAAATGACACAACTCCAAGTCAAGCTAGCGTGTTGAGTAGCTTTGTGCGTGGGTGCCTCGGCGCGGGGTCCCGTGGCGGAAAGTAAAAGGTGCCAGCAGCTAGGTACTGGCAATGGTAAAAAATGTAGAAACTATCCGCAGGCGTGAAAGCCCTCCTACGTCGTGGAGCGTGGAAGCTCGTGCATATTATAGTTGTGGCGTGGAAGCCAGGTGGCGTGGAAGCCCTGATGTAAAGGTATATGTAGGGACGTGGAAGTCCTGAATGCGTGAAGTCGGGTTGGCGTGATAGCCGGAGTAGTGGCGTGGAAGCCGGTGGGTGGCGTGAGAGCCGGAAAAAGGACTTGATTATACACGGAAAAAGGAAGTGAGAAACCACAAGCCACGCACACAATCCCGCTGTAGACACCCATACATACCCTCAATCCTGCAATATGTAATAAAATTGGTACCACCAAATCTAATCCATACCATTTGTTGAACCCCCAAACTCCCCGCTCCGTCTGTTCGGAAAGTTCTTACTCGAAATAATCTGTCGTGCTGTGAGTACATTCAACAGACATGTAGTCTATCATCAACTCGACTAGGACGACGACCGTTCGCAGCGCTCGAGGTAACCATCATCGACACTACGCGGAACGGCAGCCAATGTCAGAAGAACTCGTGAATCTCCAGTCCACTGTAGCTCAAAGCGATGGCGTCGTTCTTCGGGGGACGTTATTACGTCGACAACCTTTGCCTGAATCACTCTCAAACCTCTCCACGCTGTATCCCTTCCCCTGTGGTGGAGCTTTGAACCCTTTCTCTACTACTATTGCACCCGCTTCAAAAAGGCTAGACTGGACGTGGGCCCGCCTACGGTCAATTTTTCGCATTTTTGCGGGCCGGCGATGAACGAAAGTATCTTGTGGGCGCTTTGACATGACGACCAGGTTGGAGCGAGCACTCTCTACAACGTCACGACCCATTCGATATCTTTTGGTCAAACTTGTCCTAGAGGCTCTGGACACTTCCTCCATGTACCCTCTATTCCCTGGCCTAGCCCTGCTAGAGAGGTGAGCGGTCCCGCTCACCTCTTTTCGTCGACTGGAAGAACGTTAGGCACGTCATACTCTATGACCCATACGTGGCATAAGACGTCGTGAATCCACACCATAACATCGCCTTCCGAAAACATGCCATCCTTCTCAAAGCTACTTGTTGTGTAGTTGGACGGAGCCTTGCGACCGATGAAAATTGGTACTATGTCCTGGCCTCGGTACTCTTCTGGGCGAACAGGCATCAGGGCGACTGATCCATATGGTAGAGGGATTCTCATGCGAGTGAGGATGACTTCCATCTCCCTCTCTTTTGTGGCCTCCTCGTCGTCGTTGCTTCGTCGACGGGACCACTCTGCTGGTCCCTCCATGATGCCTTCGCGGAGCAGGTTGCACTCCTCCGTTTCTCCTTTTCTGCAGAGCTCACAACTGGCGGATAACAACGCAGGGAAGTGGGACATCGAAACAAGGTCCAGCAGGTAAAAGACGCCAATTGGGGCCACACTCTAAGTTTTTGACAAATTATCTCCTAAAGAAATAAAGTCACAGTTAGTTATTTATCCGATCATTAATAATCAAGTCACAGTTAACAACATATTCGCCTGATTGAGAGCGTAGCATCTGATTGAGAGCGAGATTGCGCGATACGCTGTAGCCGGACTACCACTGAGAGGTGGAGCTTGCTGTGTAGCTTGAATTGAAGGGCTAGCCCGTAGCTTCAAGCCGCTACCCTGGTCATCCTGTGGGAGTCTCTCGTTGTGGAGCTACAGCGGGGAGCAGAAGCTACAGCAGAGCCCACCGCCCGACGCGATACCGCCCTGAAACAGTTTGAGCAGAAATAGCCAATCTGGGCAAATCTAGCAACTTGTCTAGCTCCTCGCTGCAGCATCCGATGACGATGACACGCATATGCTCGCGAAGCTGCTGATGAGACCTTCAATTTGCACCGCTTCTTGGAATAGCCCGTCCCCTACTTGCCAAGAAATGGCAAGAGGCGTCTGGACCCGAAATTTCAATTTTTTTGGCTCTCGCTCTCAATCAGATGCTACGCTCTCAATCAGGCGAATATGTTGTTAGTTATTACCTGATAATTTTCAAGCGAGTGAAGCAGGACCACCAGACTTTGGGCTGTTCGGCCGACCAGCTTCAATACACCGATACACAGGTACTCAGAAAAGTCTTGTGTGTCGCATTTGTCGGGCGAAATAATGACCCTGGTACGTACCAGCAAGACAACCAGGAAATACCAAAATATATTTACCAGTAGAACATACAGGAATTTGGGCCGCGGCTAATCGACCGATCAGCGCAAATACCAAAAAACAACTATTTACCAGCAAACCATACAGCTGTCAGGAATTTGGGTCTCGCCTATTTTCCTATCAGCGTAAAACCTGTTGCTTATGAGCAGAAAATACATTCCGATCAGCGAAAAAACACCTGTTGACCGACAGAACATTCAGGAACTTTTGGGTCGCGGCTAATCGGCCGATAAGCGTAAATACCAAAAACAACTGTTTTCCAGAACATACAGGAATTTGGACCGCGGCTACTCGACCGATCAGTGTAAATACCAAAAAAGTTGCCAATTGACAAACGTTTTTCATGTTGATCTGAGCGAACGCAGGGTACCTATTGTCGCTAGCCTACTACGGGTCATATTAGGCGAGACAGCTAATTGGGCAAAGAGAACACCCACGGTCCGTCGTGAAAATTCAAGCAGGATAGGGTGTAGGTAGCCACGACGCCTGGTGTTTCGGTGGCTACGATTTTGCAGATGGGTTGGCATCCCTCGACCCTGATCGCCTTCGATTCGGAGCGAGAGGCGGAACGAACTGCAGGCAAGATGTCGCCTGCGGCTTGCAAGATGAATTTTCTGATTATCTGGGAGCGTATTCGGCTTCTTCGTGACCAGAAAAGTCTTCCTCTCCTTGCGTCTGCTTTCGCCCCCCCACACCTGACGTGCAAATCATAAGGTGAAATCACAGGTGGCCGGTCTCATGTCGAGCGTTCTAACAGGTAGGTGGTGGTGCCATGTTTTCTCTGTTGTTGTAAGTTGTTGTTTTTGCGTACTACATAGTCTGCGGACTACACATTATAGTCTATACTTGAAAAAGACGTTCCGTTTCTCTCTGCCCAGTGCCTTCTTCTGTCCGTATGTTACTATACTAGTCTAGTCTATTGAAACGTGTGACGAAAGATCTTCCGTTGCTCATTCTGCAACTCGTACAGGCTGATTCTGCAAACCTCCATGTAGGCTGTGTCTTAGCTCCATTTAGGATGTATCTTAGCTCGACACTACAGTTCATCTCAAGACACAGAAATTACGAAAACACGGAAAATACGAAAATATTCCACACACCTCCAACAACATATTCGCCTGATTGAGAGCGTAGCATCTGATTGAGAGCGAGATTGCGCGATACGCTGTAGCCGGACTACCACTGAGAGGTGGAGCTTGCTGTGTAGCTTGAATTGAAGGGCTAGCCCGTAGCTTCAAGCCGCTACCCTGGTCATCCTGTGGGAGTCTCTCGTTGTGGAGCTACAGCGGGGAGCAGAAGCTACAGCAGAGCCCACCGCCCGACGCGATACCGCCCTGAAACAGTTTGAGCAGAAATAGCCAATCTGGGCAAATCTAGCAACTTGTCTAGCTCCTCGCTGCAGCATCCGATGACGATGACACGCATATGCTCGCGAAGCTGCTGATGAGACCTTCAATTTGCACCGCTTCTTGGAATAGCCCGTCCCCTACTTGCCAAGAAATGGCAAGAGGCGTCTGGACCCGAAATTTCAATTTTTTTGGCTCTCGCTCTCAATCAGATACTTCGCTCTCAATCAGGCGAATATGTTGTTCTCCCTTGTGCTCACCTTCGTCATCAGCAACTGATCTCCACGTCTGCTGCTTGTCCTGGAAGCTTCAAAGATAATCTCTTCTTCTTCGGTCGGCTCCTCAAGAATAAAGTCCATCGATTCGCCCAGCAGGGTACAGAGATGTCTGGGGCCCTGGACTACCCATGTCTGGTTGATGTTTTTTCTTGTGGTGCCTTTGGTGTTCTACCCCTCGCTATCAGAACCGCTTTTCCCGTGGCAGCTCCCAAAATAGTGATGCTCGACATGCACTGGTACGTTGGTAGACTCGCCGTGGTTATCACGAATCATCACTTCGTAGGAAGCGAGCCAGCCGAAATGAAACCTACACTTGAACTGCTTCGCGCAGTTATCCGTAAAAAATAGCTCGCACCATGGCGGGAGCGCCTAGTTTCCGCACAAGGCGGGGACATGCTCCGTCATAATCTTAAACATGATATGATTCACCCACGCGTTATCCTGGGTTCTATCGTCGCTGAGCACTTGGTAGGAGTAGGCCCACATACGTGCCTTCCACTTAAGGTATATAGGGCAGCGGAATATCGTCACACTGTCGTGCTGCCAGTGCTGCGATTGTACTTCGTCCTGCTCCATAAGCTGACGCTGCTCCTGGAAGTCAAAGACGTAAACAACCGTACCTTCCTCCAAGGTCAGAGAGGTTCGTTGAATGCGCTCCGTTGGGTGTGGTACTGCCGCCGGTGAGGAGTGTTTCGCCGGAATATGTGTCTGAATTCTTCGGTGAAATCGTCATCTGTCCCCGTCTTGGTAGCAATGGCCAGGGCGGACGGGATTTAGGGGCATGATTTAGGGGCATGAAATGAAGATCGACGTGGGTTGCCCTGGTGCTGTTCGTATTCACGCTAACAACCATGGATGTTCACGTGGGGTTTGGCTGTTTCCGTTCATCGGGGAGGGTACTTCAGAACTACGACAAGACAGTCCCCGCTACCAGCTGCTCTATCGACGAGCGTTCGGTGGGCCATCAGCGAGCTCGTACATAGATAGGTGTATCTCGCAAGAATGTGTCGTCGAAATTATACATGCTCACGCTTGTCCATCGCAAAACAACGAGATTTATTGTATTTTCCGAAGTGTCAATTTTATTATTATTTTCCACGAAGTCTGGAAGGTAACTCTCTGACAAATAACGAGGGGACGACACCAGTCGCTTCCCTCTCTCCTCCAGAGTCCAAGTTCCCCTTCCATGTCAACTGGCAGGTCCAAACAAAATGCCGTCTCAGTACACCGAGACCCCCCAATGGTACTCCATACCATTGACATCCACCTCCCCAATCAGACCCTCATACCCCAGTTCCCCGTAGAATAATAGCAATCATCAATCGACATGTCCCTTCTACATATATATACATATATGNAGTGTCAATTTTATTATTATTTTCCACGAAGTCTGGAAGGTAACTCTCTGACAAATAACGAGGGGACGACACCAGTCGCTTCCCTCTCTCCTCCAGAGTCCAAGTTCCCCTTCCATGTCTACTGGCAGGTCCAAACAAAATGCCGTCTCAGTACACCGAGACCCCCCAATGGTACTCCATACCATTGACATCCACCTCCCCAATCAGACCCTCATACCCCAGTTCCCCGTAGAATAATAGCAATCATCAATCGACATGTCCCTTCTACATATATATACATATATGTATCCTCCCGGTATACATACCCTTGTCATCNGTAGCTGGCAGTGTTGTCCACTCGTACGTTTAGCAGTCCCTGTGCTCCAGCACTGATGATGCTTCAACGTGATCGGGCGCAAACAGAATGTCCTGCGGGCGGCTGCCTTCTTTCGGTGCACATGCCTCCTCTTCTATACGCACGCAGACATCCTCTTTGGCACATAACAATAAATGCTAACTTCTCATCAACTCCAATAAACACCAATTTCAGACTCCTCCCCCCTTAGGTTGGATCCATCTGAAAAAATCGCTTTTTTGTACTTTCCGAAGTGTCAATTTTATTATTATTTTCCACGAAGTCTGGAAGGTAACTCGCTGACCAATAACGAGGGGACGACACCAGTCGCTTCCCTCTCTCCTCCAGAGTCCAAGTTCCCCTTCCATGTCAACTGGCAGGTCCAAACAAAATGCCGTCTCAGTACACCGAGACCCATGGTACTCCATACCATTGACATCCACCAACATCGATGTTTAGTGGGATGGCATTCTGTCCCCTTGCCCGTACCTTCGTGTATGCTAACCCTTCTTCTGCTCCTTCTTCTTCCCCTTCGCTAGTTTACGGGATACCATGTCTATGTCCACCATATTATTCCTAGTATATATTTTGAACGTGCCCGAGGCTTCCTTCCATCTACCCTCACTCTGTATAATTCTGTCCGGTACGTCTCCTCCTGCTGCCAACGTGGTGGCGGCCCCGATTCTCAACGAATGCAGGCCAACCTGTTTCGGGTCGCCACCTGCCTTGTCCACAATCTGGCGAAGGGCGCTAAGAGCTTTGGGATATCCCCAAACCTTAATCGTCTTGCTCCTCCTACAGCGAAACGAACACAGAGGAGCGTCCTCAGGTAACGCGAGATGGCACGCCATCAACTCCACCAACACCGCCACGGCACCGCCACCGGCTCCAATCTGAGAACTCGCGCCTCGTGCTACTTCGCGCACTCGTGTAACGCACGCCCCCTTCTCCGACTGATCCCCCTTGTGGCCGCGAAACCGAACCCGAACTCCTGTGGCCTTGTGCCAGTGCAACTGGGCTAGCACGTCCTCTCCATCAAAGAATTCGACGTCGCTACGCCGCAAACAATGCACCTGGTGGCATTGCCCCGACAGTGTGGCACAAACCTCATCCGAACGCGCCACCTGGAAGTACGACAACGTCAAACACAGCCACAACACGCGGCCACCTGTACCCCACGACGCCGTCAACTGCTGTCCTTCCAACAACGTCTCCCACGAGACGGGCACCCGGCTCCGACTCTTTGTACCCGCGCGAACGTGAACACGTGCGAAACCCAGCAAACTCCCTTTGATAAGAGGCGCACCGGCAGGCAACTCAAGCTGCTTGTCAACTCGATGAAAGTACTGTACCGCGGCGAGCTTGCCGGATATGGTTGGTGCAACATTACCCTTATCTGCACAACACCACGCCACAAACTCCAAAAGTGCTTGTTCCAGCCCAGCCCCATCCGCGTCCCCCGAGAGGTACTCCGACTCGCCAATCATGCGGCGAAAAGCACACCAAGCCCGCCAACCCGACAGGTAAGTTCTTCGAGACGACTGCGCAACTGACTCGCGGACGTACTCGCCGCTAAGACGCCGGTACAAAGATCGGCGACCTCCGGGCTCAACACCTGTTGGCGCCAGGCGACATTGGGACGGGACAGGCGAAGACGAGCGTCAATGGTCGCCGGCTCCCATCGTGAAATACCATCTGCAATCGTGTTATCGACCCCTCGAACATGAGCCGCCAAAAAACACCATCCGCTGCCCATCCCAAACATCCTAGCATACGCATGAGTGCCCTCGATCGGGGCTCGCTCCCCCCCCGACACTTGTTCACCCACGCGACACTCGACGAATTGTCTCCCATCATACGGATGCTATTGCGGGCGTACTCTGGACTCATGTCCGATTGTAGAATGAACACCCAGGCGCCAACTACCATCGCGAGGAGTTCGAGCATGTTGATGCTCAGGTCGTCGCGCCCCTGGGCCTGCTGGCGAAACCTCTCCCGTACTTTCTGACTAAAGTCAAAACGCCACCACACTCCCGACCGGAATTTGGCATGCAAGAAATACCCTCCCATCGCATCTCCAGATGCGTCCGACCACAAAAGACACGAATATGGTTGATCGAAAAAAAACACACACACACACGAGTGGGGCTGTTAACAACCGCGACGGCCACCCCAGGCCCCCTTCGACCAACAGACGCCAAAGCCGCATGTCGGCATGAAACTACGGACCGATTCGTTTCCGTGTCGCTCCCCGGGCGGTCAATTGCACCGGCGGTAGCCCCAACTGGTTGAGCATGCGGCGAACAAAATATTTACCAGGCCGCACGATTTCACTGATATGCAATAACGAACCAATCACCCCCCGCAACTCGGACACAGAGGCAAAGCAGCGTGTGGGAGGCCACTCGCGGATGGTCGCCCGTAGGCGTTCCAGCCTGTCTGTGGGAATCGAAATGGTCATAGCCACCGTATCAATGTCCCACCCTAGCACACACAACCTTGTGCGCCACGAGGAACGTTTACGCGTAGACAACAAGGGAGGGTCCCTTGACCCCCGCGCCCCAAACACCCGGAAATGGTCCGATGCACACGACGCGGAAGCTACTTTACACCGGTCCCCAGTCGGGCTCCACATCACTTCCACAAGAATACCATCGTCGACATAGAACCGCACGAAAAAACGAGTCAGAACGACCGCCCCCCGAACCGGGGGCGTACGACACCCAGGGGGGAATCGGGGTGGCGTCACTCGTTCGCTAGGTAACGGNGGAGGGTCCCTTGACCCCCGCGCCCCAAACACCCGGAAATGGTCCGATGCACACGACGCGGAAGCTACTTTACACCGGTCCCCAGTCGGGCTCCACATCACTTCCACAAGAATACCATCGTCGACATAGAACCGCACGAAAAAACGAGTCAGAACGACCGCCCCCCGAACCGGGGGCGTACGACACCCAGGGGGGAATTGGGGTGGCGTCACTCGTTCGCTAGGTAACGGAACCTCAACATGGTTCGTAGCCGTCCGGCCAAGCTCAGTGACCACTGCATTATCAACAGACGTGTGATTGGTAGAGTGCTCCAACGCGGCAGTCATGACACAAAAAATGCCAGGCGAATTGCGCCACCCAAACACCAAGCGCCGATCTACCACGACAAGGTCCCCAACTGAGTAGCCAAACACGGGAGCTCCCGACCATTGAACCGCAACCTGTCGAAACGCGTCCGTCACGTCAATTTCGCTTAACACAATCTGGGCCGATGGTCCGTACGTCCTCCGCAACCATAAAATGCGCCACACGATGTCCCGCAACACGTGACCTAACTCGACTTTCGGCGCCGCCTCTGAATCCGTGTCGGCATTGACACTACGCGACACGGGTGAGCATTCAAACGTCAAGTCATGGATAATCCGAATTTTCTCAGGCGACACGACTACACCTAGCGGCGACAACCGCAACCCCGGGATCGATTCTGCCTCTGTCTTTGGAAACACGAACGCCCGCCCGAACCCCACGTCATCAAACACTTTCCGGAGAATAGTGTCGGCATGTGGGACGACACTACTGTGGTTCCCATACGATAGCGCTGCTGCGATTTCGGCAGACCCACACACGGGCACTACGGCGCCACGTTCCACGATAGCAGCGACAGTCTCTGTGTGAGGAAAACCCTCCAAGCGTCCAAACCAAAACCGAATAAATTCAGGCCGTACCCGCGGCACCCCGATGCCGTTTTCGATGGCTTTCATGTATTCAAAGCTGCCCCCATGCCGAGACAAAAACCGAAAACACTTCACCGCGATCTAAGCAAGTACGGTTGCACGTGGTGTGCCTTGCGCGACGGTCTGAGACATAGCATGTACCATGGAAACAATACGCCTAACATCATTGCCATCTAAAATACCAACCCCACCTCGGGTCAACGCAGTAGCCGCCCCTGGTCGTAGGAGGTGCGTGCTCGGACCCGAGACCACGCCGCCGGCGACATCGAAAGACGGCCCTTCCCCCCCCCGGGGGGCAGGGTCCGCGCCCCTATTCCTCATCATCGTCCTTCGCGCCGCCGCCGGCACCGCCCTTCGCACTGCTGCGGGTCTTCGTCCCGGCCATTCCCACCTTGGCCTGCTTCGCTGGGGAGGCGGCGGAAGGGGCGTTGGTGTCGGCGACAGTGGAGGGGCTACCTTTGGAGCCGCCATCCTCGGCTCAGCCGCCAGTCATGCCTCCCCTTTTTCCTCCCGTTCCGCCGGCCTTCCGTGGCGCCACATGCGCGAACTTGCAGTCTTTCCCCCACCGACATGTACCGTCTCTCTGGAACTGGTAGCACGGCCCCTGGTCCTTGGCCTTGCTGCCCTTCCCCCCAGCACCCGCTGCGGCGGCCGACGAACGGCCGGCCTTGCCTTGCACAGCAGAATTGATCAGCCCTCCCGACCGGAGATAAGCCGCGAGGTTTGGGAAAGCCGGGTGGGAAGGGGGGCGGGAGAGCGCCCGATGGCGGAGGGAGAACGAAGCGCCGCTGCATCTCGTTCGCGAACATCTGTACGTCGCGCGTGTAAAATTCCATATCTTTGACGATGGGCGTCCAAAAGATGTCGCGGTTGTGCGGCACTTGGATGGCCGCGTAATTCTCCCGAGCGTGCCGCTCCACGTCGGCGATGGCCGCCTGGAACGAGGCTTCGACACGATCCACTTGCGCTTTCGATGCCGCCGCCAACCTCGGGGCGTCGGCGATCCCCCGGCGGGCGATGGTGATAAAAGCCGCCGCCATGAGGCCGAAATGCGCTGCGATTGGGATACGTTCGCCACCCGCCCCCCGGGGCGCGAATGCAGCAGGGTCAAAGCCACGGAAGTTCAAGATCATGCCCGCTACCTCGTCCGTGACCTGAATACTATCATGCATTAACCCTTGCAGGCTCAGCTTCTCTAACTTCGGCGGAAAACATCCAATCACCACCCACCACATGCGGCTGTTCACCGAGCTCCAAGCGTTCACCCGCTGGTCCGAGATCACCTTTTCCATCCGCCGCTGGGCGTGCGACATCCCCGTTCCCATCCCGTATCCCCCGGAGTCGATGTTAAGGCCTCCCGCTCCAAACGGGGACGAAATCGCGGGAGTGAAGCCTAAGCCGCCCCCACTGCCATACCGACCAGCGCCCTGCAGCAATCCGGGACTCGACTCCACGCGGTGGAGCCCGTAACCCGCCCTCGCGCCCCCATACATGGGCGCCGGCGCCACGCCGGCAGCTGCACGCGCGCCCCCATACCCGGGCGCTGATGAAGCTCCGGCAGCGCCACCCGCGGCGGCCCCGCCGCCCCGATCACGCACGGCTGCCAGCACCTCCGCGAACCTCGCCGCCATTTCGGCCTTCAGGTCCTCCACCGAAGCTCTGATGACGGCTCGCTCATTAGCGCTGTCCTGCCTCACAGAATGTGGCGTCCTGCAGCAGCGGAGGTGGCGGTGCTGCTGTAGCTCGTAGGCTTTGTAGTCGACCACAGAGGATACACTGCTGTCACCGCTCTATCACAGAGGTTGGTCTACACTGCTGTGAGATCGGTAGGCCCGAGCGAGCTCTGGAAAGAGAAATGTAGATGGATTTTCTTATCAACTGACTCCCTGGTCAGGCTTTGATGGGTGCTAGATGAGAGTGAGCACAAGGGGCGAAGGCGCGCTTGTGTCTCATCTCAACAACAAAACAAAAACAAAAAATAAGCAGCAAGNAGCACCTCCGCGAACCTCGCCGCCATTTCGGCCTTCAGGTCCTCCACCGAAGCTCTGATGACGGCTCGCTCATTAGCGCTGTCCTGCCTCACAGAATGTGGCGTCCTGCAGCAGCGGAGGTGGCGGTGCTGCTGTAGCTCGTA